GGATGTCTGTTTCCATTGTTCTCTTCAATTAGCAGCTCCAGGAAAGGTTGGATACTAATGCAAGGACGGGTTACTATTTGCAGAAGGTCTAGAAACCAGAACTGCCTGGACCGATTCAGTACAATGAGAATGACTCACACATTGCCACGACAAATCTTTCAGAGAACATGGAAGAAGGAAAGACATAAATCAAGCAATTTATCCAGGGTAGCAGATTCCACCCTGAGATTCCCAACCTAACACTGCTCTGGAACACACTTGCCCTATAGTGGGTGAAGTATAGTAGCTGGCCACTAAACTTTTGAGAAACAAGTCAGGGTGGCATATGTGATGTTTTTCAACCCTTGAATGTCCTTTGAAAGTAACCTTTCGCTGATGGTAAGGTGGCTGGGGTTGCATATTTTGGTCTTTCAATCTTCTGACACTTGCACCATTGTTCATATAGTCATAGGTGGTACAAAGGTTGTGAAAGAGGGCTTGGTTTATACATCTGTTTATGATGCTCTCTTTTCTAGGCTAGGGTATATATGCCCAAGCATCAAAGGGTTGTCCTGAAGTCTTAAAGGCAAAAAGATACATCTGTCTTTAAGTTAAAGAGATTAGTTTCATCACAGGGCAAATCTTACAGGCATTCTGAAGGTCTCTAAAGAGCAACGCCACACTTCTCACCACAGTACTACTGCAGTTCCTATACTCCAGACACAGAAACAGCTGAGTCCTCTGTGGGTTGGAGAGATCTTTGGGTTTATCAGATATGAACTCTCCTCTGGAGCTTATTCTCAGAGGGGTGGAGCTCAAGGATTTAGGCTGATATACAAGAGGATCTTGGATCCAACCAGGGCCAGATTAAGGGGGGGGCTAGCCGGGCAGCTGCCGGGGGCGCCAATCTATGGGGGGCACCTGATGGCAGCTGTAAGGGGCGCCGTGTGCCCAGCCACACGGTGCCCCTTAGAGCTGCTCTCAGGCACCGTGCGCCCGATTGCAGCTGTAAGATGTGCAGCGTGTTGGGGATGGGGCCGTGCATGCATCGCACGCCCACTGCCCAGGGCGCAGGAATGGCTCAAGCCGGCCCTGAATCCAACTGAGGTCTCATGGCTTTCTCCATAGGTACCTCCTCAGTCCAGGCTTGTCCCTCTTAGATCCAGGGAGGGAAGGAGTGGCAGGTACTAGAGTTAATGGAGATATATGCCTTCCTAAAGCAGCAGAAATAGTGCTGGTGTTGAGAAAGAGAAAGGACAGGAGACGCAGTCCTTAAATCACAGAACACAGCAGAGTCCTTCCTCAAGGGGTGGAGGAAATGCAGAATGTTCACAAGATGGGGAAAAATTAATGTACACTAATTATAACAGACAATGAAAAACACTCAAACATTACGAACTATGTACAATTATATTTCACCTTTGTCTGCCTTTTCCTCATCTGTCCCTCCACCAATCCAAGTCAATGTCACACCATTCTATTTTACTACAAGCACATTCTTTCCATTTCTGGTCAAAGAGTTTTGTCATGAGATTGGCCCACTGTATTTTTGGTCTGTCCAGCCATCATTTGTGGTCTCTGGGAATCCAGTCATTAATGGATTAATTAAGGTGGAGGTTGTCCACCTATTGCCTATGGACTACATGACCTCCCATCTCAACTTTGTATCGTATATCACCTGTGCTATACTGATACTTCTGTACGCTTCCGAGTTACTTATTCTATATGTGAACACAGAGAGATATCTTACACATTTGCCTTTCCATTACTCACTGTTTTCTAGGACTACAATGTCTTGCATTTGTCAATTACACACACACTCTCTCTCTCTCTCTCTCACTCACTCACTCACTCACTCACTCACTCACTCAAAGGTAACACAATTTCACCAAAGCTCTTTGCAGCCATACTGGAGTCAATGTTCAAGAAATTGAATGGGAAAGAAGGAATTAGAATTGACCGAGAATACATCTTCTCTGCACTAACAACTGTGTACTACTGGCAAAAGACATAGGCGAACAGAACAAATTGCAGTAATTGCAAACACTTTAATGGGATATTGGGTTGGAAGTGAACATGCTGAAGATGAAATCGATGTGGAGTGTAAATAGATAAGTAATTGAGGAGGTCAACAAATCTGGATCAGTAGCTGAACAGAGGCAACTCATTCAAAGGAGAACGTTATATGTAGGAGGAGAAAGGTCGGGTTGGGAAAGTTTCAACAAAATAAAGATATGTCTAACGATGATGAGCTGTCCACGAAGAAGAGGAAAGTACTATTCTGTCAGTAATGTTATACACAGCGGAAAGCTGTTCGATGGCGAAACCAGAAGAAGAAAATTATATTTACAGATAAGTGCAAAGAAACTTCAGACATGGATAGTGCCAATTCCAACCATGTGGCAGTAAGAAAGAATTGGAGAGGTGGCCAATCTTCACCTCCCTTTACACAGCAGCAAATTGTCCTATGATGTGCATTCCTAAGGAATAAACAGCCAGAAGCTAAAACCATTTAAAACATGATTTTGGCTTCAGACTTGTTAGAAATATTTTTTTAAAGCAAAGCCTGCATCATTTACAGTTCTTCCTCAAATCCAGCTGACAAAATCCAGTCCAGAAGTTTGTTATGCAAGAACAACAGCGAGCGACAAAACCAGGCAAGAAGTCAAAAAACTTAATAAGTGGAGAAGGAATTAAAATGAAAAGACGAGCAAGGACTGGAGAGGAGAGGGGAAGAAGAGAAGGAACCTGCCTGAAATCTGATATCATTTTAAATGCAACACAATAGTTAATTCATTTTGTGCATAAGACATCACATTTATTAGATTTTTTTCCCCCTTCAAAGCCACAGGGGCTTGGCTGGTGAAGCCTGAAATTGTTGTTCCGTAACCTTTGCTTTTAAATTAAACAAATGACCTCAGATTTTGGAGCAGTTTTTCACTCAGGGGAGAGCATGTCATTAAGAGAGTGCCAGAAACATATTTAATTGATACAAGTACCAAGAACTTCGCAAGTGAGTGCAGACGTCCTGCACATAGATTTCAGGGAAATTACTAAAAGTTCATGGAGCTTCATCAAAATGTGAGCCATGAAGAGAGGCACATGAAAGGCTCTGTATCAAAAGGGTAAATTCCATTCGGGAGATATTAATCTGATTACCTAAGAGGTACTGCAAATCGGATATGCTCCATTGTGTCCCATATCCAACCTGGACAGATGGAGGAGCCTTTTGGCTCCATTTTCTGACATATAATTAGTTTTTCAGAGACGATCACGTTACGGATACAAAGTTAAAAAATAATTCAGGAGTAGCATGTACAGTACCAGCCTGTAACAAGAGACACTGCTGACTTTATTTCCTCGAGAATCACTCTGGAGATTGCCTCCATCAGGAGTTGACTTTGGCATTTGTGTTTCAGCCTGAATGCTCTCTACACCTGCCTGACAGAAAACCAGCCCAGCAACATCCCTAAACAAAGAGCCCTGTATGGAGTTTGAAAACCAAGACTTTGAACAGCCTGCCAAACTCAGGCAAATTTTATAAATTACAGCATTTTATCTAAACTATGAATAATTGTCTTATTTTCTTGGCTGTCCTTCCCTCCCCCACATGCCCTCCCACCAATCACTGGCAGTTACAAGGATCTTTGTAAGAATATAAACAGAATAAATTCTCCTTTCCAGTCAGGCTCCTCCTCCTTCCTGATTCTGCTATTGCAATCCTTTGTTTTCATTAGTATGACTGTGAATGATGATGTCATGGACACTGGATTATGAAATCAATAAACAATATGGGGAGGCTGGTGGAAGATGTTTATTAAATGGCTAATTTCCTATTTTACACCCAGATAACTCATTGGCAATGAGAACTGCCGGCAAAATAAAAAGTAAAATTAAAAAATAAAATATAGTTCAATGACATTTTGTATTTTTTTAAAGTTTGCCAAAGTGTGCTAAAGTGGCCTGGGGGGAAAGGAGCGCAAAGCCTGCCTACCAGCTCCTTTGAGCTGGGGCTAGTCTTGGACAAGGGAGGGCCACGTAGCTGTCCCACTAGCTTCTCCTTCCCAGGGACTAGCCCAGAGGCAACGCACAGGCTGCCTGCTGGCTTCTATGCCCTGAGGCAGGCCTTAGGTGGGAGGGGAGCTTTGCAGACCACCTGCTGGCTTCTCCCTGGGGGGTGGCCCAGGGCAGCGGGAGCCACATGGTGGGCAGAAGCTGCCCCCCTGGGATGAGGCACTTGCTGTCGCTCTGAGGTCGTTTTGGGGTACAACTGTCTCTTCTAGCATATCCCTCCTTTTCCATGTGATGGGAAACAATCACATTCCATGCATATCCCATTGTCCTGTCACAACCAAACCTTGTCCTTGCTTTAAGTTATGATAAGAGGAAGCTACATACCAAATTTAGTGGTTCTAGCTCTTACTGTTTAGGAGGAGCCCTTGAACAAACTGACAGACAAATGCACAAAATTTCTAAAATATACAGTAAGACCAGATTATGGCACAAAAACAGGAGTCAAAGGCCAAACAGAGGTGAAAAATTGGTACTACCAACCCTACAGGGTAGCTCCCTAATTCTGAGCTGCTCCAGATCGGTTATTATTAATTAAAACTGTTCTCATGGCTTTATCTGCTCTGACCATAGTAGGGAGGGAGATCTGGAAATACCAATTTTGCAGATTGCTCTAGACAGTATAGTCAGTATCGTCCCTTTCACAATGGCGGCAGAGGACAGGGGAAAACCTAGCACACATGGCTAATTATGCATAAAAGACACTAGAGGAAAATACTATAGAAGTGAACATTGAAAATGTCTTTGTGGCCCATATTAAATATAGTCTTTTGGTTATCATGATGCAACTTACAAAGAAGCTTAAAAATGTTTTTGAATTCTGGCTATATTTTATGCTAAGCTTGATAACCGCAAGCCCATGTGCTCCCGAATATTTACAGGCAACTGCAAGTGACAGTGAGGATTTGTGTCAGTATCCAGTTTCAGCTGTGATAGAATTGAACTCCTACCTTCAAACAGGCACAAGTCATCAGCTGGAGACACTATGTTTGCCTGGACATCAAGGCCATTGTTCAGCCGTGTGGTAATCTGATTTGTCAAGATAACCTGCAAGCAGGAGAAAAAATGAATTATTATAGCTGCTGAAGGGCAGACAGCAGCCCAGGTGAGGACTAGAATGTACAAAGACAGACAGACAGACAGATAACTCCATCCTCTGACCTTCATCAAATCCATTTCTCCTAAAAAACTTGGAGCTAATTGCAGTAGCTTGCCAAAGACATAGTAGAAAAAACAGCAAACTGAAGAGACTTTCAAAGTTACTCAGACAAAATATTACCCATCCTGTATAGCAATATGTTTGTTTTTCAAGAGACTGTAATGGGGTATTGTCTCAGAGAAGTGATGTTGCAAGTAGTTTCCCACTCTAGCACCTCCTATTGCTTGTCATTTTCTGATGCAGCCAAGTCACCTTTCAAACTCAGGAGGACCACTGACGCTCTCCCTCTGGCAGCTCTTTTCCTCGTAGTAGGAGTCCCACATATATGTGCATGTGGCCTCTGGAATTCCTTGTTCTGATCCATAACAGGAACAGAGTACTGAAATACAGCACTATGAGAAAAACTAATGTCCATCTTATTTCCATATTGACCAGAGATAGGCAGAACTCCAGATGTCAAAAGTTAGCCGGCTATCATAAGGTTTGCTGACATGTTTTACTGATTCAAGAGGTATTATTTATATTAATTATTATTATTATTATTACTAATAATTATGGTATTGATCATCCTCATAATCACCATAAAGTTAGCATTTATCTAGCACTATTACAAATATTAATTCCTCTTGCTGAGGTGATGAACTATTAACAGCATAAATTCAAAGCTCGGTTATTTTTTCTAATAAAAGACAGAAACAAACAAGTACAAACACATATTGCCAACTATACATGGAGTCTAAATGGGTAAGTTTGGATCTACTGCAGTGTAATCGCTTGGTGGTAGTGTAAATGAATACCATTCCCCTAGAACCACTAGTGAGACTTGATCCCCATTCTTGGAGACTAAGTAAAGCTACAGGTCTAAGGACCCAAATCTGCTAATAGTCGCATATGTAAATAACCTGACTCCATGCATATTTCCATTGAGATTACTCGACCAGAGTGTCAGCTAAAGCTGACAGTGAAGAAAGGCACATTGATAGAGGCACTATGGGGGGGGGGGAGGGGAAGCGACTAGTCAACTAGCGTGTTGACTATCCAATAAGCATTTACTTATCGGACAGTTGACTAGTCATTCACATTCCTACTGTGGATCTTCTACAGTGGGAATAATCATGAAAGTTATGCCCCTGTGTGTTTGCAGGACTGGGGTTAAGGCTCATCATGAAAATTTATTACAACAAAGAAATCCATGGGCAACAGGTGAACATAGGGCTCAGGGAGGCAAACTCCCAGCCCCATCTCTTCCACCCAAGGCCCCATTCCTGCCATCCAGGGCCCTCTGGCTGCAAAGCTCCTCCTCCCACTTTCGGGGCAGGCCACCCCTCACCTTGGGAGCACAGTGGGAGGCACATGGATCAAGCTGGCCCTGGCCAGAGCACAGGAGGGGAGAGAGCAAACAGTGCATGACCCCAGCCTTCCCTGGCTCCTGTCAGAGTATGGGGGAAGGGTGGTCAGCACATGACTCCAGTCTTCCCTGCCTCTGGCCAGAGCAGGGGGAAAGAGAAGATGGGCAGCGTGAAGCCCCAGTCCTCCCTGGCCGGAGCACTGGTGAAAAGGAGGGCAGGAGACACATGGCCCTAGCCTTCCCTGGCCCCTGGAGAACTGGCGGCATAGCTCCAACCTTGAAAGGGCTAAATCCCAGACAGCCTTGAGGCAGATGCACCAATGGGGGGGAGGGACCGAAGGAGGATTTTGGGCAGGGCCGCGCTGGCAGTTTGGGATGGCATTACCGTCCCCTGCCTCTTATACCCGTCAGTCATACAGAAACTCCAGAATTCAGACTTTCAAGTAACAATCTGGTACACGGCACTAATTGCCACTGTTAGCAAAAGACCCTCAACATAGAGCATGTAACTCAGACAGCCAATAGAAAATAAGCTAATCAAGGCAGAAGAGTCAGGCTCCTGGAAACATTTTATGATTATAATAGCACAAACCTCAATTCAAACAATAACGCAGAGCCCAAGGCACAAGCCTAGTAGAAGCTTATAGAAAACTCCAAGTAAACAGAGGCGAATATAAAGGGAGGGATAGAATAGATTTCACATCAACATTATACAGCTAGAAAAGGAAACTGCAATGATGAGTTGAAATATCATAAATTAAATAAATATTTGCAAGATGTATATATGCATTTTGGTTAGTATAATGTTTATACTGGCACAAGTTTGCACTGACCACATTACTCATAAGTGTCAAAGGCACCATGTGTGATGCAGTCAGCCCAAACCTGGGCCAAGATAAACAAAATAAGATGGCACAGTATAAAGTTTATATCATATATCTGAGAAAAAGGCTACTGCATTGAAGATTTATTTAAAACTAGAGATATCTGATTTTATATCCCTCCCCTTCCAATGGACTCTACAGCCTTGTTTCTTAAACTGTGTTCTGCAGAACACTGGTGTACCGCAGAGAATTCACAGGTGTTCCACGATGGTTTGAGGAAAAATAATAGCCACTAGAGCCGCAACGGGTGGTGCAAAGTGTGGAAGAGGTGAGCGAGTGGTGACGCAGCGGTGACGCGGCTGGAAATGAGGCGGGGCTACCTGCGTTCCTCCTCATGTGCTTCTGTGCCCGGCTTGCAATCGCCTGGGAAAGCTCTGCTCCTTGGTTGCGCCCCTTGCCAGAGGGGAGAAGCATTGCAGGGTCAGCAGCAGGGCCAGCTCTGATTGGCTGTCTCCATTGCTGGTCTGGGGATCTTGCCTGCCAGGGGAGAGAACTGCTCTAGAGCCGCCACCCCAACCAGATCTTTGCACCGCTGCCTTTAGTCCTTACTTGTTACCCAGGTCAGCTGAAGGGACCAGATATAATGTTCCTTATTTGTCGGACAACTTTTTTTTTATTTAAGGGATAGTGATTGACAGGTTAAGTTTGGGATACTTAAATTAAAAAAGATGTTCCACTTTTCAAAAGATAATTAAAAAGATGCTTAAATTATCATTGGGCAGTGAGCGAATATTGTCGTTGTCAATAAAAGTGTCGTTTGGTGTTCAAGGGACAAGGTGTGTGGGTGTTCCTCATTAAAAAAAAATATTCTTTGGTGCTCCTCAGTCTTAAAAAGTTTAAGAAACACTGCTCTATGGTCTTCAAACTGAGAGAAAACTAGTAATTGCATAATTGGACTGTATCTTTCAGATTGTTCACCTCTCCCCACGTCAAGGAATCTTGTGGAACTGTTTTGGATGGAGGACTGTAATGCTCTTTGCCCTTCACTTTATAAACCAGCCAACTCTAATTCTGCCTTCCATGAGATAAGAGTTCAGTATCTCTCTGAACTCTTTTTAGTCTAAGGTACTGCAGGACTATTCATTGTTTTTTAAATTCTCTCTGAACAGATCATCAAGTAGCTGGAAAGGGACTGTAAAAATGGCCCATTTTTACTCAGCTAATCTGGCTTTGATTCAGGATGGCAACTAAGCATGTGCTCAAATTCCACTGATTTCAATGGTGATTGAGCAAGTACTTAATTAGTGCCATGAATAAGGATGCTTTTTGGAGCCCCAGTGTATTCAGAAAGCTTATTTCTGTGAGGGGGAAAATAAAGTGACACTATTCTTTACTCTGCTTGGCCTAACAGAGCTGGGAGAGAGCTGTAATTCTACTCTAGCTCAAGCATAAATTAACAGAATTGGTAACTATGTACCAAATGTAGAAACAAATTCTGCTTCAGATCCACTTGTGAAACACCACTGCCTGCAATGTCTATCCTTAGTTATAGCTGTGTATATCCAATGACATCAACCAATGGTACAATCCTGAGTTCTCCGCTTCCCTAGCCTGACCCTGATTTTCAAAGCTGAGTACTCTCAGCTCTTCTTGGCTTCAACTGGAATTATGGATGCTCAGCAAAGGATGACAACCTGCCCCAAAATGCTTCCATTTGGGCAGCAAAAAGAAATGAGGCTCCCAGAATTAGAGGACATTTCTGAAAATGCAGAGCTTCAAATAATGCTAATGAGTTTAAACAAAACGCAGAATAATATACCCACATATAACTACTGGAGATAGTAAGAAGTTTTACATTTCTAAGATAGGACTCTGGTACAGCAGAATATCTCATATGTAAACAGTGGCAGCCACAAGAGGCTTCACGTCTCTAGGGATCCCTTAGCACACAGACTCATCTAATGCAATATCCAGAATGCCACCCCCACTTTATTCTGGCACCAGCAGGCCACAACACGTATTAAATTTTCTCAGTGTCATCTTCACTTCTTAAAAAGTGCATTTTGTCTTCCCCTTCTAATCCATATAAATAATTCACCAGCAGCTACTGACCCGCACAGACAGTTGTTTCCTTCCCCACAGCCTGAGGGGAAGGACAGATTGAGATAGAGAAAGGAAGGATGGTGAGACATGGCCATTCTGTCCCAATGCGGTGTCACACTTACAGACAGGGAAAGGCACACACAGTACTACAGACAGAGCCCACACAACCTAATGCTAGTCTGACTATACAGTCCAATATTTCACTAATCACCAGGGCTAGACATAAAGGCTTTATACAATAGAAAGCTGGAAAGGTCAGGCTTTCCCTCTTTCATCTGTTATATTTCTTCCCTGCAAGATGCCATCTCTAACTATGCAGTGCCTCCTAACAGCACGCTGGAACACAGATTCAGACCTAATTTGAGGGGAAATGCTGGCCACTGAGTCACCATATGACTTTGTGAAATTTTCCTTGGCAATCCCCATCCAAATATAGATGTTATTTTACTCTGTTGTTCATGAGACTTACCTAGGGTGACCAGATGTTCCATTTTTAAAGGGACTGTCCCATATTTAAGCCCTTTTGCAAGTGTCCCGACTTTTTCTTTAAAAAAAAACAAATTCTCCCATTTTTTCTATTCCCTCATACAACTCAGTATTGGTGGGTCCTGCA